GAGAGAGAGAGAGAGAGAGAGAGAGAGAGAGAGAGAGAGAGAGAGAGAGAGAGAGAGAGAGAGAGAGAGAGGCAAGGAAATTGAGCGTGACAAAAATTATTGGGAAGGACTGCACGTTGTAGCTTAGATGCATTTTGCCGAGTTACTTCAGAAAGGAGTTGAGGCTGTCTTCAATTTTTCTTCGGGAGGCTGTCTTCTATTTTTCTTCGGGAGGTATAGTACCCCATGGGTATTAGCGGAATGACTCAGGTGTGAAAGTGATGACCAATGGGTGAAGGTTTTTAACCCTATGCCAAGTCTTGTGTACACTGATTCCGATTCCATGTTAATTCTCTTCTCTGAATATGCTGTCGATGGAAATGTATGCATCCATTTGTCTGCATGACGAGGATTTGAACTCCCTCCCTCTCTCACGATGAGTCTCATCTCAACTTGTAGCCCTCTGCCAAAGTTGAAGTATGATTGAACATTTCCCAGCAAGTAATGTTGGCTTAAGTCTTCCCCCACCCCTCCTCCTTTCGTCTAAAACACCAGTTCGACCAAGGGGCCTACAGTAGCTCAGTTGGTACACCCGTGAACTGTTGAAATAGAGACCCGAGTTCGAATCCGGATGCAATGAGATTTACCAAATGATTTACAAAATACCATGCGTAGTATGCAGTCAGATTAACAGAATAACCGACTTCTGCAGTACCTTAGGGCCGGGCAGTTCAATTATGATATCTTTGTTTGTTTTTTTTTTGCCCTTTCTTGATTTAGGGCCATGATATCTTTGTTTCTTTTTCACCCTTTCTCGATTTAGGGCGGCATCCCACAACGGCCTTCTGACAAAAATTTGGAGAAGTTCCTCGAAAGTCGTGGCCGTGGTGAACGATTCGTATATGAAAATTAATAATTAATTGGAATCCCATAGGCCCGGACGCTGAGGGGCTTTTCTGATTGCCTAGGCGATTTGTGATGGGCGTGAACGGGTCCTGCGGAGCTACCGGGTTCGAAACGCAACGCACCGGCGCCGCTCAAGAACTTTCCAGTCTCACGTATGAGGACCACAGACACGAAACCAGACAGCGGCGACACAAAGAAAAACAAAAAAAAATCGTTAGAAATGCCTACTTTCTGGGGGAAGTGCAGAGGGTTACGGGCTTCTGGGAATTTCGTAACGAGTTGCTTTGAGGCACGGCCGTGGCGACACGCACATTCGTGTTCCAGTCTCACGTACGAGGGCCACAGACACGAAACCGGACAGCGGCGACACAAAAAGAAAAACCAAAAAAAAAAAGTTAAAAATGCCTACTTTTTGGGGGAAGTGCGGCGGGTCATGGACTTCTGGTAATTTCGTAACAAGCTGCTTTGAGGCACGGCCATGGAGACACGCACATTTGTGTTCCAGTCTCACGTACGAGGACCACAGACACAAAACCAACAGCAGCGACACAAAAAGAAATACCAAAAAGAAAAAGTTAAAAATGCCTACTTTTTGGGGGAAGTGCAGCGCGTCACGGGCTTCTGGGAATTTCGTAACGAGTTGCTCCGAGGCATGGCCGTGGCGACACGCACATTCGTGAGAGTAAAAACAGCCGGAGAGTTTTCCAATGCCGTGGGACGGGGAACCATGTGGGATTCCTGTGTTTCACCAAAAGTTTTTACTAACAAATGTGGGATCCGGTACTTATGCTTGTCATCCTTGCGCAGGGGCCGTGCTAATCTTCTTTCTCTGTCATCCTTGAGCAGGGGCCATGCGAATCTTCTTTCTCTGTATCGTTCCAATTTTAACGGATGTCCCGAAGGACCGATGATGATATCTCACGGCCGGTGCCCTTTGGGTTTTTTTTTTTTTTTTTTTAAGAAACACCAGTTCAAAATAAGCGAAGTCCTCCCACCAATGAAAAAGGAGGCGCAGCTCCTAGCAAAATGCTTGGTCGTTAGCTGCGTTCCCCCCGATGCCCCACCCCATTTCTGACTGCCGCAGGTGGGGCGGGGAGGGCAACATGAATATTCTTAAGCTTGTGAGGGGCCCTATGCTTGCGAGGGTCCCCTCTATATACCCTTAGTAGTGGTAGGTAGGTAGTGAAAGGCAAAGAAAAAAAAAAAGAAAAAAGAAAAAAAAGTTAAGTTGGGCTCTTACCAGTTTACGCGGTGAGGCCGTGACGCTTTGGGTGAGGCCGTGACGCTTTGGGCCTGAGTCGGTAGTGGCCGCTTTGGAACTTGAGGATGAGAATTTTGAATTCGGTACTGCGAGGAAGTTTCTTGGCCGTTATAAACTCTCAAGCACGAGGACAATTCCCTCAGTCACAATGGTACCCCTGCAGCTTCCCGTGCAGAGCGAGTAGTGAGGCATTGTACAGTCGGCTATCAACCCTTTTTCATCTTCTGCTATTCTTTCTTTCTGTATCTCGAGGCTTCTGCTATTGTTTCTTTCTATATCTCAAAAATTTTTTGTCGATAATAAGGGTTGTGCTCCACCACGGTTCTTCAACGACTTTCCTCAAAAAACAACCGACTCCACAGTCGTTTTTATATTTTTTCTCTCGCCTCAAATCCCTAAAACTCGAAGTGCTCATTAGGTTATGTCATGGTGCGGAATAACCGGTTCTTTTCGATACTATGTTTGGGAGTATGCATCAGACTATGGGGCTCGTTCGACACTCCTCGGGCCGTCCTCGGGGCCCGAGGAAATTCTCCCGTCGTCGCCCGAGGAAATTCGTGCCATCGTGCCGCTAACCCTCGGAATTGTTCCCTAAGGAAGATTTCTCGGGGCCTTCCGCGGCCAGCTTCATGTATCAACGAGCGGACGCGGGGGGGGAGGGGTGGTTGGTCCATCAAGGTGTGTTCGTGCCGACGTCGTTGGTCCAGCTCGGGCAGCCGTCGCGAAATTGGAAGTTGGCGGTGGAAAAAAAAAAATGGCACGAAAAAGGCGCGCAGTCCCGGGTTCAAAATTCGAAATTCAAATTTCCACAAGCGACCGTCCAGTTCTGTGGACGTCCCTTGCGGCTGACGGCAGCAACGTTCCTCGCCGGAAGCGTTTCGGTACAGGGTGGCGGCTGCGTTTCGGTGGGCACGCTGAATGTACATGTACGTGTTCGAAGCAGCAGACACACCGTCACACGATCGCCGTCGTTGTCGTCTTCGCAGGCGAGCTTGATCGTGGACGTGGACGCTGTGCACTCAGGTCGTCACTCGTAGCAGCACTGTTGTGCGGCCCGCCACACGTGGACTCTTTTGCACTTGGCAACGCCCACGTTGACAGTACGAGTTTCGGTGATGGCCATGAACGGGGGGCCGGGACGTGACACACTGAGCAAGGTGGAGAGGACGGCAGTGGCAGCGGTCGTGAACGCCATCCTCTTCTGGTGTCAATTGCAGAGGGGCGAGGGGAGGATGAGAGCGGCCATTCGCGCACGGCAGAAAAGGATGCTGCAGTCCACGAATGTGGAGGGGGAGGACAGTGGTGCCATTTGCAATGTCGTGCTGCAGGTGTGCTACGCCATGGGGTGTGGAGCATTCCCCAGAGCGACGCCCAGGTGGTGGATGCAGCGACGGACAGGTGGGACGTGGCAGGATCTTCGGCAATGCGACGATGCGACGGCGGACTACTTCAAGGACAAGCAGCAGCAGCCTCCGAAAGACGTCGGCCATGAAACGCACGTGGACGACGCCAACAGCTAGAAGACAACCGTGGACGTCCAGGAAAAGGCGAGGGTCAGTGGCGCAAACGGCCGATCGCAGCTACCGATAAAAGCAGGGTAACGTATTCCATCCCGGAAGAGACTGCGCAATCGGGAGAGCGGGGGCGACCTGAAGTATTCGAATCTGCCGACTGTTGGGCGCTTTCCCACTATTGCTGAAGGGCACCGACGCAAGGCAGCCCCTTTTCGACGTCGCGGAGGATAGCAGGCCGCCAAAGGGAACCATTGGCGGAGTGTTCCATGATGTCGATTGTTGCCAACCGGAGATGTCCGTCCACGCGCCGCCAGGAACAGCAATGGACCAGCCGCGTCGAAAATTGTCGTCGAGAGAGCTGCCGTCGACGAACCGATTCTTTCGGAGACCTTGGGGAATGCGTCGAAATGGCTTTAGCCCGAGGAATCCCCGAGGAAATGTTTTCACTTTTTTTTTTCGTTTTCTTCCATGAGGATAAGTGGAACGATGATTTTCTCGGGGATTTTACGCACCCGAGGTGTGTCGAACGAGCCCCTATGCTCGAAACTATGCGTGGGAGTTGGCAGGTGTCAAGAACTTGATGAAAAAAACAACAATGCAACAAACCCCTGTTCTGGCTCGCATGAAACTAAAGACCATGATTTTCATATCGTGTGAAGATTTCTCGTAATAGCCTCGAAAGGGCCGGTAGGTGGAGCCTATGCATCTTATGATGTCGTACTTGAACCACCAGTACCTTGCCCAGCTTGAAAACGCCGACGTGGCCGTTAAGACGCCGCGTTGGGCGGAGCACCCGCCGATGAACGACCGTTATTCCCCAAAAAAATGGGCAAAAAAAAATAAAAAATAAAAAATGTTGACGGAAACCAGATGCAACAAACGGAAAAACAAACGGGCGAGCAGGGAGGGGGAGGGGAGAGAGAGAGAGAGAGAGGGCATCAGAGTGTCTGACCGTGCACCAAACTTGACGTCAGACACTCTGACGCCCTCTCTCTCTCTCTCTCTCACTCACACGCGTTCATATGAGGATGAATCTTCCGCATTATCGCGGAAGATTTGCGGAAGATTCATTCTCATATGGACGTTGGGAGGGAGAGAGAGAGAGAGGATGTCTCACACACACACACAGAGAGAGAGAGAGAGAGAGAGAGAGAGAGAGAGAGAGAGAGAGAGAGAGAGAGAGAGAGAGAGAGAGATGAAAAAGAAGTGCAAAGTATTTTGGGTGCATCTGCCCGTGTTNGAGAGAGAGAGAGAGAGAGAGAGAGAGAGAGAGAGAGAGAGAGAGAGAGAGAGAGAGAGTCGTGAAAACGAAGTGCAAAGTATTTTGGGTGCATCTGCCCGTGTTCTAGCGGGAAGTTAATTCTAATTTTGCACATTTCGAGAGTTGTTGGGGGGGAGGGGAGGGGGCGATGCGCAGTGTCGGCATCAAACAGTCTGACGCCCTCTCTCTCTCTCTCACTCTCTCTCTCTCGCACTCTCTCTCTCACACACACACACACACACACAACGTCCGTATGAGAATGAATCTTCCGTGTTATCGTGGAAGATTCTTTCTCATAAGGATGTTGTGTGTGAGAGAGAGAGAGAGAGGGAGATCGCGGAAGATTCATTCTCATATGGACGCGTGTGTGTGTGTGTGTGTGTGTGTGTGTGTGTGTGTGAGAGAGAGAGAGAGAGAGGGCGTTGCAGAGGTGTGTAGTATACAAAAAAAAGAAGTGGAAATTTTTTTGGATGCATCTGCCCTGTTCTAGCGGGAAGGTCATTCTCATTTTGCATTTTTCAAGAGTTGTTGGGGGGGGGGATGCGCAGTGTTGGACGCTGAGTTAGGCGCACCAAACTCGATGTCAGACACTCTGACGCCCTCTCTCTCTCTCTCTCTCAACCACCCACCAGGAAGACTCGTTCTCATTGGGAATGTTCGATTTCCTCTTTTTTGTGTTATGTTCTTTTTTTCTTTTTCCGTTATGTACTACCGGTTGTTCGAGACTCGACAATAAAGTCCGAGGCTTGGGAATGATCGGGCTACCGGTAGTCCGAGCCTCAAACTTGGTAGCTGAGTGAGGTACAGGTGGTTAATTTAAATCACTGGTACCTCTCCCAACTAGTTTTTAAACCACCACTACCCCCGCTGTCATAAATTAGGGAAACTGGTAGCACTGGCAGGTCCATGAGGGCTACCGGTAGCACAGTGGAGGGAACTGGTGGAGTGGCAATATTAAAAAATGCATAGAATTACCCCTGCGATTTATTTTGTTGTTCAAATGATTTTTTTTTTTAATCTATTTTTTTTGTAAAGATCATGACAAAATCTATGTACCCTCCATTTTTTTCAGAGGTGTTGGGTCATTCTTCTGATCGCAAAAAGTCGTGAAATTTGGGTTACTTTTCCCGTTGGCCCATACGTGGTAGAGTAGCAAAAATGGAAAATTGTGACGAAACAGCGTGGCATTAACTTCATGGTCTAAGCTTTTTTTTTTCTTCATTTTTTTTTATATTTTTCTTGGAAAGATCACAGCCTAATCAATAGGATATTAGAATTTCAGATTTTTTCTGGCAATTTTTATGAGCGGGAAAAATCGCCAAAGTTGGTGCTTGAAAAATTTTGGACCGGACCCGCTTGCACCTGCTGGTCGCCGCACCGCCTAAGAGCCCGGTCCGCAAGACCAGGAAAGTCCATTTTAGACCGGCGGGGGTAGTGGTGGTTTAAAGTTGGGTTGTTAACGCATCGCGACGTTTAGGGGTTGGGGCTGCTATGGACGAGTTTCATTGACGATTTGTGGAGTGGCCTGTAGCCCCGAAAGTCTCGCCACCATCCTGTGGCCGTATATTAACTGAGGGACAACACCATTCCCCTTGACATCGAAAATTTGGCTTTCTGGGATATTCGAAGGCTCGAAATAAGCGGAGGTTGGTAGCAGTTTAAATGGAGGTCGGTGGGGGAGGGGGAAGCGCGAACTTTGATGATTATTTGCGCTTATAATAATACACAGAAAAATATGAAAAATTGAGATCTGGTGGATTAGGTCATGATTTTTTCATACCACCGGTTAGAAATCCACATTACGATTTGAGTTGGGGAGTTGAAAACCTTGCAACCTCGCGCATGGACATCGGCGGACGTTGACTGATGGACTATTGTACACACTACTTCTTTGATGCACGGTAAGGAATACAGATACTACCTGCACCACCCAAGGGATTTAGTATAGGATTGTTGTATGTCGGGGCTTACCTATGAGTGAGTTGCCCGCGGGCGTTGGCCATAGGTCGTTTTGACGATGTCCCTAGTCTTGCATACTACACGGTGGTACCATTTAAGATTGCAACACATATGGTTGAGCACAATTGTCACATGATGACGACCAGGTGTTCGACTCGGAGTTTGGCTTGAGACTTTGTGGGGGGTTTCTAGCATAGAAAGCTTTATCGTACACAAAACTACAAAAACTCTGACATAGATATAGCCCTTGGGCACATACAAATATCCTACGGGCGTACACATGATAGCTCATGGGCGCACGCATACAGCCTAAAGTCACACATACATGGCTTACGAGACATACACACCCTACGCAAACGCACACAGCCTACAGGCACGCATACATGGCCAATGGGTATACACAGCCGTTGAGTACATACATAGTGAATGCCAAATGGGGTATCAAGTTCCTGCTAAGCGGGTCATAGACTCGATATGGGCTTGGGGGCACAATCAGATATGGTCAGTGATATGCTCGATAGGATTAGGATGGTACGAGGGGCTGATTGAAATACTGCTTGAGCTTGGGGTTTGAACTACCTGCGCGACAAGGCTTGCCCGACAATGCTTTAACTAGGGATGGGTGGGGTTCTGCACAACCTTGGTGCCTGTAGCTGTTATCCGTGTTAAGTCACCCTGTGGGACGGTGAGGTGGTAGAATGATTAATATTAAGATATGATAGTGGGAATACGGGGTACGCTAGGAGAATTTATGAGAGGATGGGTAGGGAGGTGGTTTCACAAAACAGTGTATGGATATACCAATGGTTAACTAGTAACTGCAACCACCGTATGTTTGGAATCCGACATCTACAACAATCTATTTTGTTTTGTTTTTTTTCCTTCAAAAGGTCGTGGTATATCCAGGAATAATATTAAAAAAATAAAAAAATTTTGATCAGACAGCGAAATAATCGTCGATTCGGCATATTTTTCATTTTTGCCACACCGCCATCTATGGGCGAACGGAAACGTACCCCAACGATTTTTTGTGCTTATAACATTATAAAGAAAAATCTGGAAATTTAAGATCCGGTAGCTTAGGTCGTGATTTTTCCCTTGAAAAAAAAGAGTTTAGATAGTGAAACAATCATCACGACGACTTGATGCATCTTTCATTTTTGCCACTCTATCGGTTTCCCACACTCGATTTCTAATACGTGCTACTACTCACAAATATATCGAAGTTTTTTTTTTTATTAACCACCACCACTTTTTGACAGTTGTAGTCTTATTTGGGAAAATAGTCTCATCTGAAAAGTTTGGGAGTGAGGTGAAGACTCGGCAGGAAAGAGAAAGAAAGAAAAAATTGGGATCTTGCGTCTTTGACGGGGAGAAAACAAATTTAAAACTTCGAATCCGGCGACATCGGGGAGAAGACTCTAACGGAGGTGGAAGTTGTATCAGTGCGTTGAAGAATGTATTTGGTGACTATGAGTGCAACGTGATTGTTGCTGTTTTTGTTCCCCCCCTGCATTTCTTTTTAGTTGCTTGTTGTGCCCTGCCAGCGAGGGAGGGCAGCACGCGAGGGAGGGCATATTCCACGCGGCACGCCAGGCAACTGGCTGTCTTACTCACCGCATACTTACACTAAGACTGTATCATTGTTTACCGGATCACAATCAGAGCATAAAGGATGTTTCTTTTCTTTTTTTTGTTAAGCGAACAAACGTCCTCATTTAGGGCACATGTTGTGTTACTTGACTCCGTGGTGTTGCAACTTTCGTCCCGTCATCGCTATGTTTACGAGTCTGTTGGAACCCCTGTGCTTCGCCAACTTTGGAGAAGAAGAATTGAGGTGGTGAGAAGCGGTCTTGCTGTTGATCTACCAA